GGACGGATGGATGGATGGACATTATTTCAAAAATACTTTTCACAATTTTTTTTTCCCTGTAGCATTTTCTGCATTTTAAGTTAAACTAGAGAAATTGCATTTTCACAGAAAATGCAGTGGGAATGCTTATTGCAAAACTTGCTGAAAAACAGCTAAAATTAGCTTTATAAAAAGTGCTGAAATGTAGCTGAAAAGGCAAAAAGAAGCTTTAAACAACCAGACGGAAGCAGAAAAAAAAAAAACTGAAATAAGCTCAAAATATGTGGAATTAGCTGAAAAATCAAAAAATAGCATCAAAAGAGCTAAATAGCAGCTGAAAGAGCAGAAAAAGCTGAAACTAGGATAAATAAGCTGAAAGAATTTGGATATTATCTGAAAAAGCTGAAATTGGGGGGGGGGGGGGGGGAGCTAAAAATTAGCTAAAAAAGAAAAAAGAAGTATAAACTACCAGAAGGAAGTGAAGAGAGCATATTTTTGCTGAATTAGGCTGAAAAATCGAAAAGAATGCAACAAATATGGAATTAGCCAAAAAAGCTAAAATTAGCAAACAGGCAAATAGTAACTGAAATAGCAAGAAAAAGCTGAAACTTTTATATACTTGGGCATACCTCACCTCCATCTACAGGTGGAGAGCATCCTACGCTCCCGCATCAACGTGTGGCATGGAGGCTGCACAGCTGCAGAAAGAAAAGCTTTGCAGAGAGTGGTGAAGGCTGCACAGAAGTCTGTTGGAGTCAGCCTCCCCACAATCACAGACACACGTAAGATGCAGGAAGAGGGCCACCTGCATCATGAAGGACCCCATTCACCCGGCACACACACTTTTTGCCCCGCTCCCCTCAGGAAGGAGGTTGAGGAGCATTAAGTGTAGAACCACTAGACTGAGGAACAGCTTCTACCCTGAAGCTGTTAGATTCATGAATCCTCAACCAGGATAAAAAAAAATCACTGTAATGCAACTTTGATTGCTGAAATATGTTGCTGATTATCCATGCTGCTGATTTCATGCTGCTAATTTATTTCATGCTGCTGCGTTCATTCGTACTCATCTGCTCACACAGACTCATGTTCGTGCTGCTGTTGTTCATCGTATTGTTTTGCACCATTAAATGTTTTGTGTATTGCTTAGTTTATATCTTAGATCCTTATTGCTATTTCTTTTACACTTTATATTTTTGCTATTGTTGGATGTAACTGGGACCCTGTGTACACAATTTCGTTCCACTTCATGTACCACATGTGACGCAATCATGCGAATGACAAAGAAACTTGAACTTGACAGTTCAGTTTGTTTGATAGTTTATCTATGGCGCCATCTGCTGGCCACGTTTCAATATTGCAGCTGCAGGAAACAAGACAAGGTGTCATGAAACGGCTCTGTTCTGTTTAACAAAAGGTTTTACGTGCATCTTGAACATTTTTTCAAAGACACTATTAAAATAATTACTTGTGCCATCACAAAGTACTGCGTGTGACACACGTGTAGTGGAGCAGCCCTGATCTTTGACAGCAACCTGGAGCTCATTGTAGCAAATTGTTTTCTAGTTTGACCTAAACATGGCCTCAAAGTAAAAGTTTTGCAATTACATATATCATACTTAAATAAATTGCAGCATTTCACTTGTTTAAATAAATTTAAAGACCAAATAAAATAAGGATTTGAACACATATCCACTGCAACTTCCTGTTAAACTGCCTCTGCCTGTTTTTACGCAACAGGAGACTTGGCTGGGATTAGTAAGATTAGTAGGGTTTGAAGACGTTTTTCAATAAAAAGATCATTTCAGCCGAGTTAGCTTGTTCATTTTCTTTACCTTCGCTGTAAACTCAGGGAATCAGCCTTGACTTCCCACAAAACAGTGCGGCACCGTCGTGACGTAACAGGGCCTCGTTCACCTGACTTTTGCCCTTAAAACACCGTCTCCTGCTTCAAGCGCTTGAAACGATGTTGAGCGTAACGTCACTACGATTAAGACACCGTCTGCTTTTTTCATACCGAGAAATGTGCATTTAAGCGACGCGCGTCATCGCCTTGTGGACTGCATGTTTTTGGTTGGTTTGTTTTTGGAAGGCCTCAGAATTCAGTTAAAGTTAGCCGCTCAAATAAATCTAATTAAATTAAAGACTTCATTACTTTGTCTTTAGATTAATAAAATATCACTGACTGTTGTTTTTTCCAACTCCAAGATACCAGTGAAAGATCATACAGGTGCTGGTCATAAAATTTGAATATCATGAAAAAGTTTACTTATTTCAGTAATTCCATTCAAAAAAGTGAAACTTGTATATTATTTTCATTCATTACACACAGATCGATATATTTGAAATGTTTTTTTTCTTTTAATATTGATGATAACTGACAACTAATGAAAACAACAAATTCAGTATCTCAGAAAATTAACTCAAAACACTTGCAAAGGCCTTTAAATGGTTTCTCAGTCTAGCTCTGTAGGCTACACAATCATGGGGAAGACCGCTGACTTGACAGTTGTCCAAAAACAACTATTGACACCTTGCACAAGGAGGGCAAGACACAAAAGGTCATTGCTAAAGAGGCTGGCTGTTCACAGAGCTCTGTGTCCAAGCACATGAATAGAGAGGCGAAGGGAAGGAAAAGACGTGGTAGAAAAAAGTGTACAAGCAAAAGGGATAACCGAACCCTGGAAAGTATGTGAAACAAAACCCATTCCAAAATGTGGGGGAGATTCCCAAAGAGTGGACTGCAGCTGGAGTCGGTGCTTCAAGAACCACCACGCTCAAACGTATGCAAGACAAGGGGTTCAGCTGTCGCATTCCTTGTGTCAAACCACTCTTGAATAAGAGACAGCATCAGAAGCGTCTCACCTGGGACTGCTGAAAATACTGTGCAACTCTTTTTGTTGACCTTTCTAAAACGTTTGACATTGTAGATCATGTCATCCTGATGAATCGACTCTACAAGAGTGGGTTATCTGTTCAGGCTGTCAACTGCTTCTCCAACTATTTATCTGACAGAACTCAATGTGTCCAAGCAGCTGGGTCTTGTTCCTCCCTCCTTCCTATTTTAAAGTGAGTGCCTCAAGGCTCCTTACTAGGTCCTTTGTTGTTCACAATTAATGTAAACAATCTGTGCGATAACTTGCCTGATGTTAAAGCTCATCTATATGCTGATGATAGTTATTTATTGTTCATCATCTTCAGTTTCACAATCATTCAAACTGCTGCAGTCTACATTTCATACTGTTCAGTCCCGTCTGGCTGGGCTTAAGCTGGTTTTGAATGCAGAAAAATCAAAGGCTATGCTATTTTCAAACGGTAAGCAGCTTCCACCTATCCTCCCCAGCTTGTTAACTGTTCAAGGGGCTGAAATTGAAGTTGTAAGGTGCTACAAATATTTAGGTATTCTGATTGATGAGAATCTATCCTTTAAATCTCGTATTGATAAACTGGTTTCCGAACTAAAACTTAAATTGGGTTTCTTTTTTAGAAACAAAAAGTGTTTCTCACACCAAGTCAGAAGGCACCTGATTGTTTCAACTATTCTGCCCCTTGTGGATTATGGAGATCTGTTATTTATGAACTCTTCAGCCCAGGTTTTGAAAAAAATCGGATGCAGTGTATCATTGTGCCCTGCGTCTTGACTGGCTGTGGCTATCGAACACATCACTGCACTTTGTAGGCTACAGCAAAATGTTCCTCTTTGACTGACCGCAGACTTTCTCACCTGTTGGTTTTTATCTATAAATGCATCCTCGGGCATCTTCCTACATATTTATGTTCACTTTTATCTAGAACTTTTAACCATTATAGTCTGGGTTCTCAGGACATAATTTTGATGCAAGTCCCAAAGGTCAGAACTGAACTGGGTAAAAAAGCTTTTAAATCTTCTGCCCCTGCCACTTGGAATATTCTGCAGAAGGATTTAAAGTTATCATCTCGTTACATTGGGACAATTTAAATCAATTCTAAAGGAACGAGAGATCAGATCACTTGGCTCCTGTAAATGTCCTAATGTGTAATTATATGATTTCTCCTGGATATGTATTTCGTGTATTTGGTTTAGTATTTACAGTACAAAATTTACAATGTGACAGCCTGGATGGGTAGCTGCACAATCATACGTGAGCAGAGTAAACAGTAGGGGGCTCAACACACATCCCTGAGGAGAGCCAATGCTGAGGGTTATGGTGGAGGAGAAGTTGTGGCTCCTCACTGACTGTGGTCTGTTTGTTAAGAAGTCTAGTACCCAGTTGCAAATGGAGGGACTTAGTCCTAGTGTGAGTAGTTTGTCCATCAGGGTTTGGGGGATCATGGTGTTGAAGGCAGATGTGAAGTCCACAAAGAGCAGGTTTTCTGCTCCAGGTGGTTGAGCGCAGTGTGGACCACAGAGGAGATGGCATACTCTGTTGATCGGTTCTCACAGTATGCATACTGATGAGGGTCCTCGTTGATGTTGATGGTTGTTTTGATGTGAGCCATGACCAGTTTTTCGAAGCATTTAGCGACTATCGGGGTCAGGGCTACTGGCCAATAGTCATTCAGACCAGTCACTGTAATTGTATTGTCACTGTATTTTGGATTTGTTGTATGTTTTATGCTGCTGTCTTGGCCAGGTTACTCTTGGAAAATAGGTTTTTAATCTCAATGAGTTATTTTTCCTGGTTAAATAAAGGGTACATACGTACAATGAACTTAAACATGAATGAAAACAGATCTCTCTTGTAAATGAGTCTTCGTGGCTCAGTGAGACTAACCTGTATAAATAAAGGTTGAATGAATGCTGTGTCTTAATTTAAAACAATCACATTTTGCTCTTTTTTTATTATAAATCGATTTTAATAAAAAGAAAATTCCACATAAAGATTAAAAATGAGTGGCCATAATGGTCATTAGAAGATCTTAAAACACAAATACTGAAGTGATATAAAAGTTTTAAAAAAAGTGAAGACACTTTGTGGAATAAGAAGTGAAACAGTTTTCCTTAATGATAAATGTAAAAAATATTCATTTTTACTCCCAGCTTTCCTAACAGCCTCAATTTTAATGTATTTTTAAAACGTTGCAAAATATGAATCCTCATTTAAGTGTAGAGTTTGTCATGTTCCTCATTAATCTCTTCCCCCCTCTAGTGGTAGGAAGTTGTTACTGCAGCGACAGAACCATGGCTGCAGGTTGCACTACATGTGCTCTGGGTGGTTCTGCAGACAGGTGATGAACTCTTTCACCTCCTTCCCTTCGTAGCAGATCTGGTAGACCGCTGTAAACAACGGAAACCTGTAGAAGAAACATTTTACAAACGCGATTAAAAGAAGCGGGAAGTACAACGGGGAGGTCGAGCACCGCAACGAAACGTCCAAATTCTGGGAAGGAACCGTGTCGCGACACTCACTTGTTGACCATGTCGTGCTTCTGCAGGATCTTGTAGACCTCAGCTGAGGTCTGCGGACCCTGGAGCTTCTGACCGTTCAGCATTTCTGCCTCCAGCTCGGCAATAGACTGCGGACGTTCAAAAGGGGGACAGAGTAGGCTCAGAAATGACGTGGCAGCTTCATTTCCTGTTGTGTATTTTTTTGGAAGACAAGCAGCTAGACACCAAAAACAATCACACTGTGCTGAAAGATCCTCCAGCCGGATGCAATAAAACTTGTTGGAGAGGTCAGACAAGGTCAAACGAAGAAGCAAACTAACTTTGGTGCAGATTGAGATCAGTTTCTTTTCAAAACGCAACATTTTTGAATGGGATTTGGTTCAGGCGAAGGGTCACGTTGACGTCTGTACGTCTTCGACTCACTTTAGCCGTTTTGACGAAGGCCTCTGCGACTCGGCGATTCCGTCCCCCGTAGCAGGTGGTGATGAGGTCTGCCACGCCGCAGCTCTCCAGGAAGGTGCCGGAGCTCACCTTGCCTTTGGAGAAGACCTTGGTGAAAGCAACCATCTCCATCAGACCCAGCCGGATCACCGCTGCTTTGGTGTTGTCGCCGAATCCGAGGCCGTCGCAGAACCCGGCGCCTACGGCCACGATGTTCTGGTAGGAGAGGAAACAATAATCAACCCGTTCAGGGGAATTGTTCAGACAGAAAAACAAGTTTTTCTGTATCGTACCTTTCTTGTTTTTGTTTTTTTTACTCAACTCTAACACAGATTTTAATTTACAACAGTTTGTAAATGTGAATAAAACTTTTACATCATTCAAACAAAACATTCAGCTCATTCTGGAGACGGCTGTTGTGACTTACACTTATATTTATTAATGTACACACATATACTAACATATAATGTTGAACTGTATTTATAAATTAGTTTTTATAGGTATTACTGCTATAGGTATTAGAGCTATAGGTATTAGTGCTATAGGTATTAGTGCTAGGTATTAGAGCTATAGGTATTAGTGCTATAGGTATTAGTGCTATAGGTATTAGAGCTATAGGTATTAGTGCTATAGGTATTAGTGCTATAGGTATTAGAG